ATACCGAATGACCGTGACTGAGTTTTCTTTTCCTTGTACACAGCGAAAGAACTTTTGTGAGATCTTGTGGTTGGTAGCGAGTGTTGGAGTCCTTGCGTACATCATGCACATGTCCCTCAGGATCTCTCAAACAGAAAAGTAGATTGCTTAGCCAAAAACAGATGTGCATGGGATAAAGATTTCAGTGTGTTATTGGTGGGACTTCAAAGCGGTATCACTGGATACTAGCACCGTTGTAAGGACCACAGTCCACCTTAATCGACTTCAAAATATGGATGACGTCACGCTTGAATTCATTCAGAAATACTCAATTTTTCTCTACTACTCGGCAATGCGAAGACCGCATGTGGGGATCAGGCTACGCCAGATCATGGATTTCGATCAGAGAATGCGACCGTACCCAGGTTATTTAACAAAGTTAGCAGCCTCTAATTACCACCTCCTTTGGTCCCTATCGCATCCTTTAAAAAGCAAAAATTCCGAAAATCGACCTCAACTCGAGAATGAGGTCCACCTCTTCTTTTTATCATAGTTGCCGTAGTTCTATGAGAATGGAAATGAGAAGCTGTGCAAAAGAAGGGCACTAGTCCTAGTCATCAACTGCGGTTACCTTGTAGATTGGAGATGTCTTTTAGTGACGGAAAATTTAGTCCGAAAAATTTGGTCAAAGTGTCGCATTACTTTTCGAACAACCTAATACCAGTCCGATCGCTCGCTAACGCCGGTGCTCCTCCTTATGCGGTGAACGCTGCTGCTGCTTCTGCGTCTTGACAAAACGGGCGCTGCTTTTCAGTTCTTGGCTGATGCAGAACATTCCTTTGAACAGTGTGGTTGGTCAACGATCCGTAACTTAGCACGCAGCAAATCCGCGCCCACCGGCGAAGCCGGGCCATGTCACAGAAGGAGGAGCGCCCGGCGACAGCTGGGCGATCCGACTGGTGTATCTAAGATACACACATGTGTCTACTTTAGTGGTTATTGGCAAAACTCGTCCAAAATTGCCGAGTTGTCTAGGCCAAAGGTTTCCTTTGTAGGTTTTGACCGTCTCACATCGCTTTTCCTCCATTTTCCCCCATTTAAGAGCACTTCTGCTACCATTTTCGCCCGAGTACTGAAGTGTCGTGCCTTATGCCTGTAAGAGTAGCACAAACTTCAAGGGGAACTGGCGAGTTCAGAGAATGGCTAATCGCAGCGAGAACGACACGTCACCCTTGCGCCACAAGGTAACAGTGGCTGCATTTATACGCGATTCCCTGGTACTATACCGAAGCGGAGTCCTGAATGTCAAAACTTCCCCCAGAATCACCTCCTTAGCCCATTCGTACTGTATCTCCAGCGAGTCATGCAATATCCACGTCTATGGAAAAAGAAAACCCTGCAAGTCAACATGAGTACACCCAAAAACAATACCACAGTCAATCCTGATTTCAGGCCGACGTGAGTTCGCTCCCGGCGATGACCTTCAATCCGGACCACGTCTCAAAGGGTGAGTTCGCCCTTCAATGCTCACTTCTTGACTGGCGCAAATCCTCAGGTACTGCCGATTCCTACTGCACCCACCCAGGGGTGTTGAAGACACCAATTTCACGTTCAGGGGCGAAACAGCTTAGGGGGGGGGGGGGGCGGGGGGGGGGGGGGGGGGGGAGGGGGTGAAATACGTTATTATGTAAGCACAGCAGCTTCTCATCCTTTAAAACCACAGCAGCTGTATGCCCGCTGATCCAGCTACATTCACATCGAACCGTCCTTAGGCGCTACAGAAGACCATCTGAGATCCGCTAACTTCATGACCTGTTTTGTTGCATCTGCGATTAGCTTTAAAGCTGCTAACCCAAGTATGTCGAGTGTTACACATGCTCTCTGGCAGCCACTCTACGAAACTGTACTTATTGTCGTACTGTCGGCCTGGTGAAAAAATAGCAGCGAAATGTCACTGTCGCGGGGCTGAAACCATCGCAAGCGCGTGGCGATCGTAAGCATACCTCATTTTCAACTGTCGCGCGAGACCGCAAGCGCTGGTCTTACGTCAGCAAATGTTCTCATTAGGGATGTTTGCGCCAGGTCGATAGGCCGATTTGTAAAGGAACGTATATACTGGACGTGTTTTGACCCAGCTGATCTCGAATCTGCCTTCGAAATCTGCAGACGATTCTTTGAAAGGATATAGAAGGTTTATTAAAATCAAAATGTAGGGACACGAAGTTGAGCGCGGTTGCCCATCGCCAATTTGCCATGAATGAAGCCGCGAAGCGTCTTGCTTCGTGTGCATCCCATGAAGGGTTCGGATTTATTCGTAGGGAATGTCTCTTCAAGTCTAGAAAGCACTCAAACGTCAAATGGGTGTCATATTCGTGTTCAGGGAGCAAAACTACCCTTGGGGACAGGTTTCTAGCCAGATGTGAGGTTTTGACCTAACTTTGAAAAGTGCGGTAGCAGTTGATCGAATGATGGTCACCAATAGTTCCAGGGCCAGTCTCTTGTCGATTGCTTGTCTTTGGACGGAATTTGCTTTTAGATACCAGGAAAACTGGAGCAGTAACAACATGAATGCGTAAGAAGTGGCAAGACGAGGCTTTGTGCAGGAGAATGTATCTGCAGCTGAATAGGTGTGAACATCAACTGAACTAACCCATGGATGCTTCACTTTTCGAAGTCAGGTCAAAATGCCAGATTTGGCTAGAAACCTCTACCTAGGCGTAGTTCGCCCCATAAATACGAATATGGCACTCGCTCAGCGCGAAAACGCCTGCACTGCGCGCCAAGGGCACCTGTACACATCTCCTAGATCATAAGGCACTAAGCGCGCCAGTAAGCGAACGCAAACTGTTTTTCAGGCAAGTCAAGGAGAGCGCTAATGTAGTAGTGACGCCACAACCACTTTTTGCCACGTTTGCGCAAGAAGCAAAAAAGTTAAGCTCAGCAGGGATCCGATCCCATGACCTGTTGCGTGGTAAACGCGGAAAAAGCTCCATAACTCCGTTCAGAGAATCGTTCTGCAAATTTCGAAGGCAGATTCGAGATCAGCGTCAAAACCACGTCTAGTGAGCTACATCTCATTACGAATGGCCACTTCGACCTGGCGACCTAGTCAGAAAACTGTTCACGTCGAACTCAACTTGCAAGGGGATGGAGACTCAGTAGGAGGTTTACAGCTATTTTGAATGATCTCTCAGACAGGACCTGCTGGCCTTTATCAAAAGAGTGGTCCAGCAGGTGGTCTGTGCTGCACCACTCAGCAAGCTGTGCCACCTCAAGCGTTTTTACGGTATGGGATGGGCTCTAAGAATCCCAGAATATTTGTGCCGATCCTTCGCCACTTGCGTGAGAACCGGAGCACTTCATCTTCCTCTATGACAACGCCGTCACTCATTGCAGCAGTTTCAGTGAACAGTGTCTGAGGGTGAAGAGAATCAGTTATCCCTAAAGAAAATCAGTGCTTCTCTCAAGTGTCAGAGACTTCCTGAGATCTTCATTTTTATAAGAAGCTAGATTGTTCAACCATACACCAAAGGAAGGGGGCAAGTAGAGCAATTATGGGGAGCGATCTGGATAAAAAATACCTGAGGTAACACTCTCACAAAATGTTCTTCCCGGTTGTATACTTGCACGAATTGAGAAAAGATGAAATTTTACACTAAAAGCTCTATTGCCTAGGCGCCTTCATCCTCTGGAAACTGAGGGATTTCGCCAAATTTCTCATTGAAATATCTAAAGCTCACTTTGTTCCCTGGAACAGACGTAGCCATTAGTCCATAGCCCGTCGCTGAATGAAGTAGTTGGCATCTAAGACTTCGTTCATACTTGCGGCACCATCCACCAGCGGCGAATAGCGTCCACCACCGTTCACTGCAACCGTCCTCCCAGCGTCCTACGACAGCAACTTGCACCAAGCGTCTATGAACGCCTCCAGGGCTGAGGAAGCGTAGGTGTCAATTCTGTCAGCGTCTGCAGCGCGCACCAGCGTCTACCAGCGTCCGGAAGAAGAGGGTATGGCAAGACATGAGGGTAGAAGACAATGCCGTCACCGCTCCTATGGAGCCATCACTCTCTTTGTAGTCTGCACCCTCCTATTCCCCATACCAACCCAGCTGCCTTGCTAACGCAGCTCACCTACCGCGCCTCTCCTGTCCCTTCCGACGGCGAGAAGGGAGCTGGTGCACGCTGCCAAATGCTAGGTCGATACCTATATTTCCGTAACCCCTCGAGACGCGTGGTGGACACTGGAAGACGGCACACGCTGGTAGATGCTGGCAGACGCTACATCGGTATCTATACTTCCCTCGTCGCTCATGCTGCCAGGCGCACGGAACGCTGGCGGACGCTATTTATCGCTGGTGGATGCTGCCTTAAAGTGTGAACGGAGCCCTAATGACTCTTAAAACATTTCGCAACTTACATTGCAGATAAGACCTTCTCAAAGTGGGAAGTTAGTGAAACATTCACAAGCTCAAGGATCGGGTCCTGGTGATTCCTATCGGGAAAAACACTCGCATCAAGATGACGTTGAAAGAGCAACGCAACCAGCTTCATCACAACGATCGAGCCAAGATCGACGTCAAATGAGCATTCACAGCAAACCAAGATTACCCGTCGCAGACTCCCCGAACAGGAGTGAGAGAAATTCACGAGACGACAAGTCAGAACGAAAAAGTCGAAAGTCTTGCATATGTTGCGCGAAGAAACCAAAAGATAAGAGATCACAGTCGGGGAGAGATGGATCCTCCAAAGCAGGGAAATCTGCCAAGTCAGCCAAATCAGGAAAATCGGGAAAATCCAAGAAATCTGCGAAATCTGCTAAAAAATCTGCTGGAAAGTCTGGCAAGTCAGGGAAGTCCGGAAAATCGAAAAAATCTGGCAAGTCGGGAAAATCGAAAAAATCCTGGATTTCTTGTAAACTCCGGAGGAAGAGTAAATCGCAAGGATCATCTGCCAGATCGCGTAAATCCGACAGAAGTATTAGTGGGCGATCGAAACAAAGGAAAATCCAGTCAAGGAAGTCTTACTCCCGTGAGTTAAAATTCTGAGCAATTTACATGCGCTTCTTTTTCCAAAATATGCCGGGCACCAAAAAGTATGGCTGATTCGCTTTCTGCTATGCTTGCTCCTCAAATTTTCCTGAATGTTCGCGAAAAATGCGTTATTTTTGAACGCAGTCTTCACGACTAGCTGTATTGCGTGAATAGTGGCAAACCCTAAGAGGAGTTGCTTAACTGATGCGTAACCAGTGCCCTAAACATTTACACAGGCACTTTCAGAAAGAAATGAATCCTCTCAGAACTAATCTAATCATTTCTCTAGAATCCATTAACCATTGAAAGTGTTTAGCTTACTCGGCTAACAGCCACCATTTGGTGGTGTAAAATGCTCGCAAGCTGCCATGATAATAGGCATAAGGAAGTCTCAAAGTGATTTACTCTAGTTCGCTGCGGATGAAGGGGCGAGTCAAGCAGTATGAGTGTGCCGCGGCGCCAGAACCCTTCTGTCTCAGTTGTCGGTAGAAAATGAGCAAAG